CTTTTTTTCATACACTTCATTTTTGAAATTACGACTGGAATCATAAAAACAATTATTTATTTTATTTATAAATATTATTTAAGAACAAATTAACTTATGAACAAAATCAACATTTTTTTCATCTATAGCTTTCGTAACAAGTAAGAATTCGTTGCAGTTAAAATAAACCATTTGTTATTTATACTGCTATTCAAACTGATACTTGTTCATGCTAAATCGTTGATGATATTATCACAAAATTTCGTAATAGAAAAAACTCCCTTGAATACACGCTTATTCACCTTTACTTTAACCCTACGGACATATATTTCTTGACAATAAGTTAGTAACATACAGAATACAGCTTTCCTGACCCCTGAAATGTTGGAAGGTCAGTGATTCACGGGTACACTTAGTAATGACTAATGAGTTTGAAAAGCCTGAAACCGATCAGTAATGAGCGTGAGCGGTAAGAAATGAAACCAGTTCCGACCTGTGGGGGCACTACTGTCAATTTTAACTATAAATATCAAATTAAAAAAACAATTCATACAACTATGGAGGTAAGTTTTTTATTATTATTAATGTTACTCGTTTTATTGTGAATAAAATAATATACAAACCTCAGCAAAAGTACGATTCCTGTGTCTCTACAACTATATAATTCACCTCGAGACCACGTCTCTCGGTAAACCATAGTTGACTCGACATAACTCTCCGCCTCGGTATGCAATATACTATTACTTTAACTTATAGGGGTTATCATAAAAAAAAAATAAAATATGCAAAATCAAATTTGTACATTTTTCAATGCAGCTGAATGTATTGTACTATTTTTCAAAGGCGAGGGAAGCTCTGTATAAATTACCTTAGACCACTCTGATATTACGATCCTGTACATGTAACACAGCAACACAAATTCAAATCTAATTGGAATAGTTGCCCCAAAAAATAAAAAAACTCAATTATTATTTAATTTCAAATTTGGCAAATCAAACATTGAAACTAAAAACGTTTGTTTAGAACGCTTTTTTGCATAATATAGTTTTTAGCGTAGAATTGAACTAATACGAATTTTCTATTAAAAAAATATCCACATAGATAAAAACAAGTAAGAAAAACCCATTGATTTTATTATTTTTTTGCATTAATGATCTATTTTACAAATTTTTAGCTACAATAAAAAAATTCCTTTACAAATATTTGCTATCCAAATTTGCGATATTAGATTTAAACAAATTTATGAAATAAGATAATAAACAGTTAGAAGTCCTTATGAATAGATAGGATCATAGTTTTGCATTAATTTTATAATGTCACTAAAAATAAAATTACAGCTTGTAAGAAATATTGCGAAAGTCCATACCACTGTGATATAGAGGACCGTGATATTAACAGAACAGTGATACTAATTTATAATCATTATTCTCGGTATTATAACTAAAAATATAATACCCAGTAATGAAAACATTGGTCCTGTCTTATCATGGTGATGTCAGAATTGTGGTTATTCACTGCTGTAAACCAAAACGTGCTTGCCACAAGGTTTGAAGTGAAAGTAAAATCATTATTGACAACCACCGTCCAATATCGACTTTGGCAAATTTTCAAGTCCTTGAAAAAGTGAATTGTCTTCAGCTAACCAAATACTTAGAATCTCATAATAATGACATTGGCTACATCAATCAATTTGGTGTTAGGGCTTATAATAATGTTAAAACAAATGCTATTCAACGTATGTATTTCACCATGACTCACACCCTGTTGCACCGATAAGGCAATAAAAAGATGACTAAACGTAGCCATGAATTTTTGAAGATTTGTTTTTGATATAATTTTCGCTTTGTCAGATTAGCATCAATTTGAAAGTTTGTGCTGAAAACCTAACAATCAAAGACAAAATTTAGAAAATACATGGATGTCTTTGATCGTGTTTTTTTTATTGCTCTCTCAGTACTTTTAAAAGTGTACTTACACTTGAAAGCTAAATTACTATCATCATATAATAGGAACAGATAGAAAGAGTCAGAGCTAATAATATTACGCCAATGAATTTGGCAATAAATTTACTTTCATTATCAACTCTAAAAAACAATAACTTTGCCATCTAAGTATAATTTATTAAATTTTCAAGAGATTTCTTTATCAGAAAATTGTCTACTAGTTTGATTTCCAGATTCTTCACACCTGGGGTACGCTTTTGTTTCTCGATCGAAAAAATCTCGTTTGCTGATGGGTTGAGATGCTACATTTCTGTCACATTTCTCGATTCTGTCACGAAATCAAGTCTTCATGGAATGATATTTTGTCAATAGCTCTGAGTGAAGGGATAAATTTTGGAAACATAACCTCGAAATTTATGTCAAAATAGAAGTTCAAAATCGTAATTCTGAGTTATAAGTTCTTAAAATTATGGTAATTGTAAACTTTTGAGCATTTAATAAGCTTATATGCAAAGAATAAATGCAAACTTTTGCATTTAAAAGCTATGCAATGCCATTTATCGCAAGTGATAATTTATCACTTCGATCGAGAAACAAAATCGCACCCCAGATCAAATCATCCCCACTACTCCCCGTAAAACAATGAAGTTTAATTTCTCGCACTGCTAATTACAGTTGCTTCAGCAGCACTGGTAAAAGGGCTCTCTCTGATTATATCAAGCAAAGCATCGTCTTCGCCAAATGTTGAAACGAGATGTCTCACTGAGCCTGGACGACGTTCCACGTCTGCTCTCGTCTACATTTCTGCACGATCAAATTCACCGTGCTGTTTTCAATCGCCAAAGTAACGGAGACTTGCTGCTGTGACATCCCACTTTGAATAAGGGCTATTGCTCGAGATCTGTTAAAAATTGATACAGCTGGCATGTTGAACAAATTGATATATATCAAAGTTAATTTGACAGTTTTTTCGAACATATCAATCATAATGACAGCAAAGGTGCATTTACATTGAGATTTTTTGAAATAACAAGAACAGACTGCCCAGCATTCCATGTCCTTCACGGTACCCATTTAATACACTAAAATGTAATATATGACTTCCATATTCATACTATGTAAAGAAACAGTTTTAATAAATAATAACACAGTAGAACAGTGTTTTTGTTACATATATTTTCTAAACATGGTCGGAAAGGTAATTTTGTGCTGAACAACTCTTAAAAGAGATAATATACCCATGTCGTCAAAAAAAAAATTATTCAAATTTTTATGTCGTCCGGTGAACAATTAGAAAAAATGAAGTGAATTCTAATTTTACATAGAAAAACGCGCAAGAAGCACTAAAAAAATATTCCACAGATTTCTGACGACAGATATTTAATTATGTCTACGAATATTTAAGCGGTCTAGAATATGTAGAAGGATCTAACTCTTTATAAAAGCCTCATGTATTCGGAAAGAATGAATACTTGGGTCTTTTTCTTAAATCTTCCTTCGACTTTCTTGATTTCTCGATGAAAATGTTTTCAGCAAAGAAATTTAAATAAGACATAATTTGTGGAACGTTTGTTTCCCAAAAATTCACTGATCACTAAGCTAATTGATTCCCAAGTAAATTTTTCCATATCATTCAAATAAGTAGGTGTAGAACATTTGATCCTTCATTCGAATTTCAGGCCCAATGAAAATTCCTAAATATGTACAGAAAACGTACATAATATGAAAACTGAAATTGTAATATTTTAGTTTTTACCTTGGTTTATGTTAGCAGCAGAAAGCTTAGGAAATATTGTTTTCAGATGTTGAAATGCTTTCTCTCTTGTATTTCACTTGCATAAGAAGCACATATGATTGGCATATCCAGATTGGAAGCCAGTTCTGTTACTAAAGCTACAATTTTTAAATCGCCTGTCAAATTGCACTCAATTTTTTTATCGTTAATACAGTTTAACAAATATTGAATATTCTCATATGTTTCTGCAGTTTGTATGGAGTATGTAGTCGGCAGTACTAGATATTTATTCCCATTATGCAATAGTACACCTTTTTAATAATAATAGTAATAGCATTTATTGCCAAACAGCATACACGATTTATAGGACAACACATTGTATAATACCTACACAGTATAATGCAATTAACAAAATAAGAATGAATTAATTATATAATTGTGAAACAACTTAATTATGAGTGAAACACAAACATACAAAAGAATCTACAATTTATGTGCAATATGAACTTTAACTGGAACTATCTATGAACAATCTTCAAAAAAAATTTTTTTTGACGAGCTAGGCATAATGTCTTGTTAGATAGTTATTCAGCACATAATAACCTTTCAGAATGCTTGTAACAAGATTTTTTTCTAAAATTGTTCTACTGTGTAATTGACGGACTCATTATACCTACATGTTTCTACCTACTTAATTGTACATAGTTCCTTTTCATTTACAACGGCTTTTTTCGACAGAATTTAATTTAACATTGGTAAGTACGTATACATAAGAACATTTATCAAAAACGTTTACAACAAAGAGTATTTTGAAATGTATATACAGATTATTAGATTGTGTTCCATGAGAATGGAATGTAATAAACACCAGTTGTAATGAAGAGACTGACTGAAATTCAAGCTATATTAAATTAATATTATATCACCAGTTTTCTGATGTAGTGTATTGGAAAATTGTGAAATGTCATTTCTATACAAGATTGCGTACGGTCTTACCTTCAGCCACATGTAATATTAGGGGATAACATATACTACAAAGCTGAACAGTGAAAATTATAAGGTGCTGGTGTTAAGTTCATAAATCATTTCTTTTATTGTTTGTAGTTATAACAAAATTATCGTATGCTATCTGGGATGCTTTATTAATATCGTTATTGCATATTATTTAATATTTTGTTTTACGCATAGCATGCCTGCTAATCAATGAAATATGCGAGGAGTAACTAATTAAATAATTTTTCCAAAATTCTTATTTCATTCCAGTTAATTACTTGACCCTAGGTTATCTCTTCCCACTTCGTTACGAAAGTAAACTGTTCTTCCTGTCCATTTAATTACAACTCTCGTACGATGTGTCATAGACAATTTAATGTGTTAATTATGGTGAAGTGTCCCAGTGAAACTTGAAGTTGTGTTTTTCTACAGAACTGTGCTTATAGAAAAATGAATAATGGGTACGCAATAAAAAGTCGACGATTATTATGTTAAGGCTAATTTAATTTGTAGAGAAGTTCCGAGCAAAGAAAAATCCGCCTATAAAACATGGTGGAAGAATCGTTCGAAAGGCGAAAAGAATCTCATAATTGCGGGTGTTGTTGCGGCTGTTACATTAACATTGTTTTTTATAATTTATTTTTCCCTTTCTGGTAAGTATTGAATTTTCGATTCCGTTCTTACTGACTGCATGCGAAAAATAAAGAGAAATATCGCTAGATAGTTATTTACGGAACTGCACCATTGAAACTCAATCCATGTGGATTATCTTGTCACGTAAGAATCTCCAGGATTACGAAGTGAAAACATTTCGGAATTTTTGCGGTGCATCGCGTTTTAATTGGCCTGCGATCGAGAAAAGTGTCTCTTAAGTAGTTTAAAATTATGATGATATTGTTAATGTCGGCAGATGGCCTCGAGGAGTGCTCTTCACCCACGTGTGCAAGGATCTCGATGGAGCTTCTCCTCAAGTACATCGACATCAAAGTGGATCCGTGCGAAGATTTTTATCGATTTTCTTGCGGTAATTTCCTGAAGAACAGCAAACTAGATAGTCGAGGTTCATGGTCGGTGCAGAATGTCATGGAGGAGGAGATTCAGACCCAAATTAAAAATATGTTGACGGAACCGGCGCAGACGGAGGATCCGGTAGCTTTCAATTTAGCAAAGAAATTTTATCGAGCTTGCATGAACGAGAGTGCAATCGAAGCAGAAGGATTAAAGAGGATGAAACAAATTTTTAAGCAAATAGGCGGATGGCCCACTCTTAACGGGAATAATTGGCGTAAGGATTTATTCAATTGGAAAGATGCTGTGTACAAACTCAGGCAGCTCGGAATTAATTTCGAATCTTTTTTAATTCTGTCTGTGCAAAGAGATAAAGCCGATCCCAATAGGTACATTCTAAACGTAAGTAACGATCCCTTTGCACGTCAGCTTTCCTTTCATTAAAATTTTCAGCTGGAAAGCCCTTACAGTCGCTCGGAAATAAACGCGGAGATAAAAAAATTCTATTTGGACTATATGGTCGACGTTGCTGTAATGATGGGCGCCACGAAGGAGAAAGCGCGCAAAGAACAAAGCCAAGTCCTGGATTTTTTGCTAAGATTAGCTAAGGTGATATGGGCCTTTTCAATTTCTTCATAATGTTATTTAAAAATCCCCAGATTTCTCACGAAGTTGAAGCTGCTAATGGAACCGGTCTTTATAATCCTTTATCGCTGTCAGAATTACAATATGAATTTTCCGGAGTACCCTGGACGGAATACATCAACCACATTCTTGCTCCTGCCACGAGGATTACTCACGATGATGAGATATCCGTTTCCGAACCTTTATACCTCAAAAAAATGCTCACTTTGCTCAAACATACCGATCAAAGGTATGTGAATTCACCCAGCAGACAGACTTTCATCAAATTACAAAATCCTTTTAGAATTGTAGCAAATTTCATGTGCTGGCAAGTTCTGCAAAATTGTATTAATTATTTACCGAAGAAAATATTAAACAGAGCGTCTGAGTTTCTTAAAAATGTAAGTGGAAGAGAAGTACACGTATCCCGTGAGAATATATGCACTGCTGATGTTGAAGACCGGTAAATTTCCAATAGTATCCATATATTTTCTTGAAAAAGGTGTCGCAGCTTTTCCACCGTTATTTCAGCAGCTTACGTACGGAAATATTTGGACGAGAATACGCGTTATAGTGCTCTATCCATGATTCGAAGTATGAAACACCAGTTTAAGGAAAATCTCTACGAATTAGATTGGCTAGACAAAAGGGCTAAAGATATGGCATCGGAAATGTTGTTATCCAGTGTTGAAGAAATCCCTCGTTACGAAGATTTAATTCAAAATAACTTCTTATACGAAAACGTATGTATACAAAATATTTGTCCGTCAAGTTTCCCATTAATTTATATTAAATCTCACTTTATTACCTTTTTTCAAACATGAAATTCGAAACTGTAATGTTTTAACTAATGAATTGCATTATTTCTACGAAATACGATATAAACAAATACTCATACAGTGTAAAATGTGTTTTCGTGCTATGTAAAATATTAGGAGTACCTACATGATTGTTTTTTTTATCAAATTTATGTGTGCTTATTTATGGATTAATCTTCATTTTACAACGATTTTAAATATGTAATTTACATTACAATGAGGGGAATGCACATACAACTAGAAGTTAAAGTTTTTAGAAACTTAGTGCTCGCATTTTCAATATTATTATTATTAATATTATTATTGATCAACAAGTTATCGGGCAGAGGCAACAGCCTGTTAGCCACCGTATGAATGTAATATATTAAAACTTCAATAACGAACAGTGCATCAAACATTAAACGTATTAAGTATTTTGATGGCTACGATAGGGGTCGCAATTAGATTTAAAACATATCAGCGATTGGCTCTGAACCAAGTCATAAACACACAGAAATGTGTACAAACTGAATTCAATTTCAAATTAACTCAGTCAAAGGCATGTTGTTTTAAATTTTTCGGAAACAATTTTTCGGAAACAATTTTTTGTAATGAAATTCAAACAACTAATTAATTTAATAATTCGGTTAGAAATACAAAATTTTATTTAAACTAAATTTACCTTCTCGACAGAACGTATTCATTCGGCTGAATGAAGTAGAGTCCACGAATTTAGACTTGTTTTGCTGCACTTGTATTAAAATTACTACATATTTATTTATTTCGGATTATCAAATTAATTCTAATATAACTTTTATATCTGATTAATAAATGTTGTGTGTAACTAGCTACAAAAATAATTTCGTTCTTACGTTTACTGTGGCATAACTGTAATTTCATAAATTAATAAAATTATTTATAAATATCAACTGCAAGCTATTTATTGTTTTACAAAAGTTGGTGGTATCGGTACGTTAACATAATATTCGTATAAAACGAAAATATTTGAATGTGTTATGACTATAAATTAAAATATAATTTCAAAAATACCTAAAAACTTTATCCGGAAATGTTATAGACTATAGACTTCAGTGTACTAAAACTAAAATTTTCAATACACTTAACAATTAGCCTTTTGGGGTATTTCGATCTTAAAACTCGTTCTATAAATAAAAATGAAAAAAGAAATGACAGAATTTGTTACTCTAATCCTCTTTCTCTCTCTCTAGATGATTGTATGAGTTATACATGTGAAAAGGATTTTTTTTTAATATAAATCAAAATCAGACTCGTCACCTACACCATTTTCATTTTCAGTTCCGAATAGGACTCCTCGAACTAAGCTTGTTCTATCTAGTTAGTTAGTTAGCTTGACAAGTTTTAAGTAAAAAATCAACAAATATTTTTGACATAGGTACCATTTAGGTGACTACTTACTTTAATTTAAAAATATTGTAACTGTACAGAATGACAATCACAGTACAAATGTATCGGATGTAGTTTTAAAAATATAGTAAACCGTCAGTTCTAATTTTCTTTTCTCCCACAAACATTTCTACCAGTGTTAGATAAGTAACAAAGTATTGATTGCGACATACAAATTTTCAGTCAAGCAGTAATAATAATTTCTTTACTTTAAAATCGATGGTGTTATTTGAGCAAACATCGCCTTGGCTCATGTTAAAACCAGATATTTCGACGATTTATTGAAATTAAACATTCATATGTGCTCCTGATTTATTATTAATGTTTAAAGCATTTTCGTTGCTGTTGTCGGAGAATTCTTTCCGCGTTGGCGGTTTTATTATTTGAGTGCATTTGTATTTATTTCCGCGAGCGCAACGTCGATCTATGAATATTCAAGTTGATTTGATAAAACATTCGGGAAAATGTTGATTATAAATTCTAATTATTTCCGTAATTATTGATGGCGAACCGACGATAAAGTTACTCCCCTGAGAATATTTTTGTTATAACATCATTCTGCAAAAAATGTGTAAACAGGATCGATTTTTCAGGTGGAAATATTGCAAGATAAGCTCTTGACGTCGGTCCTAAATCTGGATTATGTGACTACCAATATTCTATATGGAAAGCTGAGACAACCTGTAAAGGACAATTTTTTTGAAAAACCTGGAAGCGTCACAGGATTAAATATTGTTTATTCACCAACGGAAAACGTCTTGAGTAAGTCCTACGATTTCGAATAAAATACTTCGCAATATATCTGACCGCGTGTCTCGGAACAGTTTCATTTAATTCCAGTACCGCAATTTGAAATTGTAAATGGTCTAGATTATTTCTGTTTTAAGATGGCGTGTCCCGGAGCGAAAATCGTCAAATTAACCGGATTACCATCGATCGGTCTCCGGATTTTACTAAAGTACGCTACGTAATGTTTTTTAATCGCTGTTTTTCACGCGAAATAAATAAAGATAACGCGCCGAAAGACAGAAAATCAATTCCCAGGTGGAACAGTGTCGGCTTTTCATATTTTCTCAAATAACGTTTGATTTTACTTTCAGGAATACCCGTGGGGAGACTCGAAGGAATTTTCTACCAAAAAAATCGACCCAACTATATGAACTTTGGAATCCTTGGTACCGTGATTGGGCATAAAATGTATCATATAATTACAGAGGCAAAATATAAAGGAGGACAAGGGGAAGTAAGAAATTGGTGGTCTTCGCACAGTTTACTCAATTATGAGGTGAAGCTTCAGTGTCTCTCCAATCACTATGGAAAATTCATTGTTAAAATGATAGAACACGTAAGTTTATTATGTTAAGGTGAGGAATTCACAAAGCATTCTCTACGCAAATATTTGAAGTATGCTGGCAACCTATAATTTCACACTGTCAGTGGAGGAGTTTGGCCCGGTAGCTAAACCGCACCTCATTTTTTGTTCCAAAATTACTCACACAAAAATTTTAAATAAAGAATACCAAGCAGATAATAGAGTAGAAGTTGTAAATTCACTAATATTAGACAAAAGACGTTATTTAAAAGTTAACAACACTTAATCTGCAGTTCTTAGGTAAAATTGTCAGTCAATTCACAATATTGTTTTTTCTTGCAACCGACTACCATTTATAGTTTGTTACAGGTACGGTTTTCTTGTAGACATGCGTTATTTCAGATTTCCCCTCTACATTTTATTATGTTTGGAATGTTTTTTTTTCAGTTTAAACACATACATTTACACAGCTGAAGTTCAATAGGTATGCGTTTTTCAATTAGATTTTCTACTTTAATAAATCCAATTATATATAACCAAGTTTTTAATAATATAAGTTCATTCTCATGACATTTGCAGTTTCCAAAAATTTAAACGAACTTTTGTTCTAATTGAGGTACACTATAGAGTGTGGAGGAAACAACAGTGTGCTGAACAAAGTAAAAGTAAACAATAATCGTTCACACAGGTATGAACTTACAGTGCACGTAAATGTAATTTAACCAAATGTTTTAATTATATCTACACACAGTGTAGAATGAGGAGTTCCAGACGAGGAGTATCATTAAAACAGTTAAGATAAGCAAATATCAGGCGTTTTATCGTTCCTTCCAGGGACTCACATCGTGCAAATTATGCTTGGTATGAGAATTTATTGGGGAATTTTTATTACTTATCTCCATAAAAATTTTTTGCTTTAAGTTTATGTAAGCTTTTACACGTTATTACTCATTTTAAATTTTGTTGTCGTCATTGTTATCGTGGTATGAAAAAAACATGATGGATTATAACATCACCGCTTTATAACCATAAAATAAATGAATTGAAGAAGTTTAAAATTTTGCCATATTTGTTGTGGATCGAAGGGTTACACTCTCGGCTAATAAAAATTGTATTCATGGCTTCAAAGAGAAACACAGCTAACATTAATCCAGAAAAGTTATACATTTAGCGAAGATCCCCTTCAGTCATCTTTGACTTTTTTTAAGGTGTATCTGCCGTTTGTTAGAAAATCGAGCACCATTTTCCAAAATTTCGCCAAATGCCGGTGTGTTTATATTTTATTGCTTAACTCGCATTAACATGTACATGCAAACTATATGTTTCAGTTTATTTTAATTTTGAAATTAGTAAATGTAGATAAAATTACAGTACACAAAAAACAAATTAAAATTTAAGTCCATCTTAAATATAGGATGTTCAGTTTAAAAAGTCATCAAGTTGGCCTTAATTTCTTGTAAACATCGTGAAGTATGTCTACAATAAACTTAAAATGGAATGGATGACAACTGACAACGCGCAATGGTATAACGCAACCTTACTTTTTCATGTAACAAAACTAGGTAATGCTGATCCACATCTCTGTCAAAAGTGTCAAAGTGTATGAATTAATAAAATATATGCGTTTTCCCTACGTTTTCTTTGACCAAAAAAAAAATTAAGCCAACTTGATGATTTTTTTTTCAGTTGAATACCCGTTGTGTAATCGTCCATTAAAACGTCATATTCGGAATTAAATAGTTGAATTTGATTTGAAAAGTGAATGAAGATTAGCACATAAAAAGCGTGAAAATTTGGTTAAAAAATTCAAGGTTCTTAAAATTTGTAAGTTCTTTTATTTCAGATCTACTGCGTTTATTACTTATAATAAAATTGTAATGTCTAAAAAAACCCTTAACAAATAGATCTTAAATCTTTGGTTTACTACAAAGTTTATTCTTTTTGAGGATATTAAAAAATTGAAGACTAATTTTTGCTCGAAGTATAAAAATTCCTAATTTCGGTACGGCGTCCGTCTTTCATAAAATATGGCGTCTGACCTTTATAAAGTACAGCGTTCCTTCAGACAATGAATAGATAGACAGTCGACACACAGACGGAAACAGGAAACCTAAACTGCGGTTTTTTTTAAACTTCACCTGTTGCTTTGTCCTGTCTCTCAAGAAGAAAATGGTTCTCGTATTAACATCAGGGTTATTAAGAGTCTTTCGACCGCAGATTTTAAAATAGGATAGCCAGAATGTATCATGTCACAAAACAAATAACATAACCTAAATTTGTTTTCGTCTTTCAGTAAAACTTCGTAGCCATGTTGGCGCTTATATTAATGGGAGAAACTGCGACGTTGGTGGGCACTAAAAAAATAACACTGTATTTTTCATAATTTAAGGGTCCTGAAACGTTGACCAAACAAAAAAAAATGATCGAAGATTAACTTTTTCGACAGAACTTCCCTCGCCCATGAAGTACAGCTTAATAAATTCAGCTCTTTCGAAAAATTAAAAGATTTGATTTTGCGACTTTTATTGTTTTTTATGGCTATTATAAGCTAAAGTAAAGATATGCATCTAATGTTTGAATAAAGGTAAAGAAACGTTCCAACAGTTTGTTACAAGTGAGTTTTTCTATTACAAAATTTTGTGTTGATGTCATCCACATTTTTGCAAGGACATATATCAGTTTGGATAGATGCATTATAATACTAATAATAAAAGTATTGTATTATTTTTATTCTTAAATAGTGTTTTATAATCAATAAAATAAACGAAACAATTTAATAACGTCTGTCATAATAGAGGTGGGACTGAAGACTGAACCGAAAATCATTAATGGTACTCGTAATTTAAGACAAATAGCGATAACACTAATCAACCTGTACACGTGAGAGTGAAACAGAAACTAAACTAAACGATATTTTCTACGAATTGCAATAACCGGATCACATCGCCGACGGTCCAGACATTTTTATTGCTTTGACTTCCGCTTATTGAATAAAACACTACATTTTGTTTTGATTATCGATGTTGTAATTCACATTCATTCATTTTTTTGAGTCACCCTGTATAATATAAATGATAAATCACAAGTACAGACTCATCATATTTGCTACATTTTAGGATAAGTAAATACATTTTTCGTTAAAAATATATCATGCCTATCATAACCTTAAAATATCTGCAAGTTTCAAAGCATTCCGTTTTACAGATTCAAAATTAAATTGCAAAATGTTGTTTTATAATTTTGATTTTTTTTCAAAAATCTGGACGTTTCGGGTAAAACTTCAACACGGAGTCATGAACTACCTGTGTAGGACTATGTTATTTTATACAATTTAAAACCCATTTACTATGTACAATTTTGAAGTGACGTTATCACATTATTGGTGGAGACGATATGACCAATTTTGGTTAGCGTTTTACCATCCACATGATATTCCTAATATAACTACGAAATTCGACGACAATCGGCCCAGTACTTTCGGAGATTATCTGTCTAATAAAAATCCGGGACGGCAGACAGACGGACAGACGGACAGACGGACAGGCAGACACACAGACGGAAATGGGAGACCTATTTCTTCGTACTCTAGGAATTATGAAAGGTCGAGAAAATGTAAAAGTAGAGAGGCGGCCGACGGACTCGATTACAATACTTCCTTTGCTTACGCTCGGGAAGTAAGAACCGTTTACCGGATGGACATTGTTACTACACTTTCTTAGCTTACACTCGGGAAGTAAAAATGTAAATAATGTTACTATTTTTGCTAAAAGAAAGTAACCACACAAATGATCTAATGGTTGCTATGATATGAAATATGCTCTTTGCTAAAACACCATTTAAGCTGCTAACGAACTGATTGTCGTCTGTTTATATTGCTATTATCAGAGATTTTTGAAGATTTGTTTTTGATAATTTTCGTCATGTTAGATCACCTTCAGTTTGAAAGTTTGAATTTGAACAAAAAACCTTTTTACTGGAATTACACTTCAACAGTGATCAAATCGTCAAACATACATGGCTGCCTTTGATCGCGTTTTAATTGCTCTCTCGGTATATTTCTTGCAGTAACATAAGTATTTTCAATTATAATATAACAAGTGATATGATTATTATCGATAATATTTCGAGTGAAACCGAGCTGCAGATTTAACGAGTGCGAAGCACGAGTTGAATGTGCTGCTTCGGTTTCACGAGCCATATCTTCGATTATTAATCATATCACGAGTTATATTCAACATGAGAATATAATAAATGAACACATTTTTTGATAATAGAATTGATTTCGTCATTTTGAGCTTGCCCCCAACTTTGGCAAGCCATAAAAGACAAAAAAAATTATGAAATTCTAAAATTTGTCAATTTGACAGTTTTTAAATTTAGGTAGCAACAGACCACAATAAGGCAATAAAATTATTATCGCTGTGATAGACATGTAACTAAGGGCATGAACAAATTCTATTGGAAGAAATAGGGTCATGTGATACATGAATTATATTCTCACCCTAAAACTATCAACGGGATTTCTCTTATCAATTCAAAAAAAAATCATTGTACAATTGCATTATGTAAATTAAACATACTCGTAATGATACCTGTGTTCTCAATTGCGACGTAAATAACGTAAAAATATGTACTTATTACTCTATAGTCAAATTGTATTGTTGTTGAGGTTAGGTTAATTACAAACGTTTATCCCATAGTACCTATGTGATAAATTCAACCTTCTATTCGACAATTGTAGTTCTAGCTACAACTGGTTGAGAAAGAAACTTTTAGATATTTTTATTTGGTTAATTTGAATATTGCTCGTACAAAAGTTTGTCAATTAAAACTTGTTGAGAATGTATAATACACAGTATCAATAATTACACCGTGAGACATTTCAATAGCTTGCAGTAATTAAAGTTTAATTAATCCAGTTCGTGCAGACCTATACGTCTGTGGTAGCACATTAACTATGTTTTGAAGTACTCGGCGTCTACTTATTATTATTATTAATTTAATTTTATCCATTCTCGTGCTATTTTGCTCGCGGTTTCTATAAATTTATTTGGATACTTGTACTGCCATAATGCTATTTCCAGGTGAACGCTTCTAGCACCCGCGACGAAGACATGGCCGATTTAGCCGGCTTGAAAGTTGCTTACGACGCTTACGTCAGATGGGTTCACGAAAACGGAGCTGAACCTCGGCTTTCAGGCTTAAACTTCTCACCGAAGCAATTGTTCTGGATATCATCAGCCATCCATCACTGCGCCAAATACTCGCCCCAGACACTGCAGAGGTACATCGCTAATTACCAGCAAAGTCCAGGCCAGTTCCGCGTCAATGGCGCTCTGCAAAATTTAGACGAGTTCGCAATGGATTTCGGATGTTCGAGAGGGACGAATATGAACCCGGCGCAAAAGTGTCGGATTTGGTAGATCCATCTTTTATCAGTACATTCCATCCGTTCGTTTTTACATGCGAGGGGCGATGAAGAGATTGTTGTTAATAGGGGAAATTGTTTTGCAAGTTTTATGTTGGGAAAATATTGGGAGCTCATGCTAAAACCGATAATGTACTGTATCGATTACTTGTATCACAACATTACTTTTTACTTTTCTGTTCCACTGTTCCATATTATCTCTTTCCACACCACTTAAAGCATTATATTATGGTGCTGTTATACGCTGAATAAAGTGCGCCAAGATTTTGTTTCCTTTCGACCTACTATAATTACCCGTTTATGGAATAAAACAGCCAAGGAGAAACCATTAGCAAAAATATAAGCAGATTGTTTTAATATTAATAAGGACTCCTTCACCCTCATTCTAAAAAAATATCAGGATATTTCTTACTGGAATACTAACAATACAATTGTAGACAAACCACCAAATGAAAATATGTATTACGTACACTACTAAAACTTTGCTTTATATTTCACAATATTCGTGGACTTGCTAAGTTATCTATATACTTAAAATCCGTTGTTTCCTTTTTAATATCGAAACAAAAAAAGAACTTAATACTTGGTATATTTTTTATGCCAACGTTTATTATCGTTACTGATTCTGGAGTAGCTTATTTCAAGGTCTAGTCAGACAAAGACAACATTTGACAGTTACCTTTCTTTTTTAAATATCGTATTTGTCAAATCATGGCGTTTAGATTTGCACTCAGGTTTCTTCTATTTAATAATTTATTTGCAGGCTGTGTTTGTGATGTGTCTCACGTTCGTAAATAAAATTCGACAGGTAATTCTACTATTTCCATATTGTTACTAATATAACAAAATATTATTATTGATTTGTTTGACAATATGTATAAGAGTAGGTATATTTATAGACATTTCTTGCATTTTACTAAACTATTTTTGTTTCTTTATCTTTTCTGAAACAAAACTTTTTAACAAATTTTATAAAATTCTAACGTCATCTCTAGAAGTAGCTCGTGGCATACTTGAATTTTTTGAATATATACAACACCAATGTAAATTTGACTATATAAACGTTAAAATTAATATGAAATAACTCAAATGAAGTAGTGGGTGTATTTTAACGTTAACAACAAATATTTAAATAAAAAAAGTAGAAATATAAACTTGAGATTAAATGTAGATTTACGGTGAATAAATGCAGGATAAAAATGAGCATAAAATTTTGAGTTACTGAACTTTCGTCGTGAACGTCTGCATGGACTAAATTCCAAAACATATGAACAAAGCTAAATAGAAAATTATCTTATTGATGATGACCATGTATCCGAAATCACTAGTTGGTTAGGTGGGGTTTTGCGATGAACTTGATCTTTTTCAATAGTCTTATTTAGAAATAAACATCTCTTTCATTTTAGCAATTATTTATTGTACATACATACGATATACACAAAGAAGCTTAGACTAATGTAATTTCGCTTATTTCTTGTTGCGGTTCTCGAACTTGTAGTCTCCAAAACACTCAGATGTGTCCCCTTGAAACCATATGTTATAAAGGCGGAACCACACCAACAGGTACCCCCAAGTACCGAGCAATTGCTTGGCGAATGCCGAATAGCCTAGGGGCTCGTCGTGATGTTCGCCGAATGGGGAGCACTTTACACCAGATAGACATGTGTACTTTGCCAAGTAGCGAAAGTTTCTGGGTACAACGAATATTAGCCATAGGACCTCATTTCCATGGATAGCGGCGATTCAGAACTCGTTATTAGTTCAGCTGCTTTTGTAGTTATGTGCTGTGGCAATATGTTAAAAAAAGAAACAACCGAGAAACTCTCTAGCGGTTCCAAAATCATAAGGGGGGACTGAGTTTATTAAATCCGCACTGTAGGTTCTTTTTCATAAGTAAATTCAGACTCAATAATTATTGCAAACTTCAAATTTATATTCATACAACCTATTGTTACATATAAAAAAATATATTCTCTACAAAATAATGTTTGTCAAAGATTTTTAATACATATTTTTGAACTGAAATCATAAATAAAAATAAAGCTTTAATCACCGGGAGCTATATTTCCCCTTTTCTCCTATTTGATGAACAAAATGCGTGATAATCCAGATCCAAATATTTGTTGGTATTATTTATTATTAGATTATTACTATTATAATCTTTTTTTTTTTTTAAAGTACAGCCACTTTTAACCATATTTTACAACACCAAAACTGAAATTATTCAAGAAAAATTGGGACAAATATCTTATTTAGATATTTACCTTTTTAGAAGTTTTTCGCATAAAAGCACGAAACATTAATATAATTTAATACAAAATCGACCACTTACTCATCAAGCTGAACCAGGTTTATTTTGTATTTAGTTCAATTACGTACGGAATAAAGTACGCTAAGATTTTGTTTTCTTCTACGTGGTTGTAATTACTAACACACTGAATACAACAAACAATGGAGGTTTTGTTAGCAGAAAAGTGTGCAGTGGGTTTTACTTACTTGGAAGGCTTTGCGCACGCATGAATAGGGTTTGAAGTAATTAAATAGACCAATTAGATTACGGGAACAATTGTACTTTAGTCTGCTTGAAAGGGGTATTCTTAATTTGTTGTTTCAAAGCCTGATTACAGCTGATATGGCGGTTATTCTGCACTGAAACAGTGAAACCTGAATACATTTCCTCTGGAGCACGGCTGACTTTGATAAATTCTTGAGGATGGAACTGTGAAACCGACATTATGTGATAGTTATTACACTTTACTGTTATTTTGTGTCATTATAAAATGGTAGCTGTATAACTACAAATCTTGAAAGAAAGCACTTGCTTTTTAAATGTGCAACAGTGGTTTTAGAACAACACAAGTAGCACAAATTTGTAATTACGATCTGGTCTTCTTTATTTTAGCTAGATTAAACCAAATGAATGCACCGAATACAAAACATTAACAATCTCATTGTTCTTTGAGTATTATTATTGAATCGTTTTGTGCAGATAACGGTAGACCGTAAAAATTATAAAAAATAATTGTAGCATTAACAAATTGTGATCATATAGCCACTGGTTTTTTAATTATTTTTTGCAAATTTAAATAATTTCAAAATAAGACAGCTTTCAAATCAAAACTGATTTGAGTAACTATTTGGGAAACAAAGACCACAACCAGCAAAATCCATTAATATAAGTGCGCCTAAAAGGAATAATGTAATACAAGTGTAAATAGATGTATAGATCTAGTTTAAAGATAAATTGTATAACTCGATATATATGTAGTGATTTGTTGAAAAACAAGCATAAATAACTGTTGAAAATAACGAACTCAAATTCTGGCCATAAAACCAGGAGTTGCACGATCATCTTATGTCGCTAAATAGACTTTATTTCAGATTTTCTATTATACAATTGATTTTCTGTACAGGCAATGGATCTGTAGTAATCTAAATATTCGTTACATAATCCCTCTTTATCGTAATACCCGATTTCTTTAACAAAAGGGATTTACTAATATTGATTGCGTGTTATTTAATTTTGCAAACAGACATTCTTTCAGCTTTCAGCGTTGGAATTTACTTTATAAGATGTATCTCCAGGTTTTTTATTTGAACAGAAGGAAAATAACGTGCGATTCTTTAAATTTTTAATATTCGTAGTAGGCTGGTAGTTTAGAAACGTAAGTGCATGTGGGGTACATGTACTACACATCTGTCAACGTCAAGTTAAATGCCAAACATGGCCAACTTCATTGACACTTCGCCTCGCTTTTATTCAGCCATAACATTAAGTCCATTTTCATTGTTGGATGTTATCCGTTATCCTCAAAAGTTTGTAGGGTAATTGACTCCAACTATCGATAAATTTGTATAATTTTGACACTTTAGATACGTCTGCTACTTTTTAAGTATAGGTACAGTAAAAGCAAAAAACCTAGAAAAGAAACATGTATAATTTGAATGAATATAATCAACAGTAAAATCAACAAAACAGTAATAAATGAACTACCTATCTATTTTTAACAAGCAATAAAACAATAAACAATGTATGCAGATACATATTCTAAATATTCCTGAAAATATTTCGATTTAACAATTAACAGCAAAGCTCACGGAGCGTCATATGTGAAGGCGTAGTAAGGGATCAACCCCACGAATAGGCTAGTCTTAAGATTTCACATTGGGGAGCAACTCAGTATATTTCAGCAAAAGCCGATTACCAGCAGTATAAAATTATTACCATCATTTAAAAAATCTTTCTATTAATGGGTTTATTGGTGATTTTTTTTACCACAATCGGTTTTTTGTCCGCAAATATTACTCGAACTCGTTTGATCAGTAAGTTAATTTAATCAGTTTAGAAATACCGTTTTTCTATTTGTTGCAGATGAAAAGGGAATTTTGAATTAGGTGCGAATTTAAAATTCTGAATAATTTTTGGCAAGTACTTCTCGTTGGTCAAAAAATGGTATAATTTATATCGCAAAATCTCCTAACACTTTCCACATACAAAATGATAATGTGGATAATTCAATTTGTCGCAATTTTGACGATGAATGAAGGGTAGAACGACACTGAAGTTGAAAAAGATAATATAATATTGTTACGAAAGAAAGCCATACGCCGCCCCGGTACGACGCCTATGGGTCTTCTAGTATGTATTTATTCTGGTATGTAGGGCGGTGATGACTTATCGTCCGGGCGACGCGGCATTCGTTGACGAAAAGCCTGGAAGCGGAAGTCGCGATTGGCAACCCAGACAACCCTCGAAGCGGCGTTCTCGAACCATAGAATAGTTTTAAATAGAGGCCATTGTCGGGAACGATGATTATTTAATAAATCGAGTCCACGAGATTATAGTCAAATTGCGCCGGAATTATGTTGTACATAATCGCTGTGTAATTCGAGTTTTTAGGAAATAAATTGTTGAGTTTAACCTACACCGATTTTATTCACCCGTTCAACGTAACAATATATATAATAACAGGTCTTTTTAAGTTGGAATTCTCGGAATTTCATCTTTTGTGATTAGCGCCGAGGTTTTGCTGAAAGGCCCCAAATAATGTGAGATAGTCATCTTTGGCGGTCATTGACATAGTGTTCTCTGCAAAATCCCTATCTTTTTGGTGAACAAAATCTCCCAACCGTACATAAAAGGATATGTATTTCCGACTATCGT